GCAATTGAAATACGCCGGTGCGGTGCGCAGGACAACGCGTCGACGGGCGGCAACTTCGCCTTCTCGCCGTACGGCGCGGCGTCGGTGCTGGTGGTGCTGTACGAGGGCGCGCGCGGGGCGTCGGCGCGCCAGATCCACGAGGCCCTCGGCCTGCCCTGGGACCGCGACGTCACGCGCGTCGGCTTCCGCGACATCCACCGCCACCTGCGGGTGAGTGCGTCGCGCCCTCCCGAGCACCTTTGTCCTTTTTTTCTATTTACTTTTGTTGTTGACGCGCCCGCTCTCGTGGGGATCTCGCAGCACAGGAGCCCGTTCCCAATGCAGGAACCGCCGTTTCGTGGTGACGCTCTATGGCGGCTCCTGATTGGTCACGGACTCCATGATGAGGTGCAGCGCGACGGGGCGTCGGCTTTATAAATTCAGAATAGACATGAACAATTTAAAACAATGTGGGCTAACATCAAGGTCAAAGGTACGGTGGAGTAACGCATCCTACTCTTACGATTAAACAAAACAGCACTGTTGTAATCATACAAATACATATGAAAATTGTGGAAAATACTATTCATCAGAGTGCAATTGTACAATGTACTCAAATAGTCGTAATAGCTGAATGTTTATATTCATTTAGCCGTTAGCTTTACATCGAGTGTCAATGCTGTTCGGCTCTAATTTCAACGCCCTCTCTTTATTACGAAATCATTATTTACACGCGAAAGAAATACACACTTCAGTCCAAGATGATCGCTTTTAATACACACCCGCTCAAATACATATGTAGTAGGATTGAACACAAAAAGTACTCTGAAACAGTTCAAGTGCTCGACGACATAAGTTAATATTGTTTAAGCACTCTGAAAATTAAAATCCTTCATTTCTTTACATATTAAGGGGGGATATAAAAACTGAAATTTGCAAAAAGAACGACCTCCCTGAAGTTGGTGAACATTTACGTATTCAAAAATAGATAATAACGTAGAGAGCCAAATAAGTAACATAACGTGATAATTCGGTTAGATTACACATGCTCGGTTAAACGTTTACGAATATGAAATTGTATTCATGTGAAGTGTATGCGACAATGTCTAATTATTGCCTCACAGAGCTACTTCACGTACGCCGGCTACTTGAGCGGTATGACGCTGAGCAAAAACCAGACGGCGCTGCGCCCCGAATTTGAGAGGCTGCTGCGCTTCTATGGGTACGACCTGGACGAAGTGATGGGCCCCGCGACCTCCGAGCCCACCGCCACAACCACCACCACAGAAGGAGCAGAAACAACCACGGAAACCTCCGCAAACGCCACTGCAGACACCACAGTAGGCACCACGGAAAATACTAATGCAGAAACCACGACAGATGTCAAAGTAGAGACCACGACAGAAACCAAAACAGGTATCACGGTGGTCACCAATGCAGAGACCGCGACAGAAAGCAAAGCAGAGACCACGACAGAAACCAAGACGGACACGACGGCCAACAATATAGCCGCTACTACAGGCAGCAATACAGATGCTACAACAGAAGCCAAGACAGTGACAACGACAGAGGCTAAGGCAGAAACCACAATGGTTATGACTGAAGCCAACACGCTCGCTGCGACTACGCCGGGTGTCTCTCCTGACGGCGCAGCAAATGAGAACGAGGGTACGTCCTCAGCTTCTGAAGGCTCTCCAAATTCCCCAGACCTTACTTCCAACGCTCCCCCCAGCGATGCCGCAACTACAGAGGCATCATCAACATCATCATCAGAGGAAAGTACATCCGAATTAGAAACGTCCTCTGGGGTTCCATTTGCTTCCCAATCAAGTTCCCCATCTAGCGCTCTGGCGGAAACAACAGAATCAGCATCAGAGAAAAATACATCGGAATTAGAAGAGTCTTCTGACACCACAACACCTGCTTCCGGATCAAGTTCCCCATCTAGTGCTCTGACGGAAACTACGAATCCTGGCTCAACCAATCCTACAGACACTTCTCCCCCGTCCAGTGGAGAAACGACCCAACAGTCAACTGAACCAGCTGCCTCTTCGAATTCTATATCGGATGCCTCTCCTGACAGTACAACAAACACGAACGAGGCTACGTCCCCCGCTTCTGAAGGCTCTCCAAATTCTCCAGACCTTACTTCCAACGCGCCTTCCAGCGATGCCGCTACTACAGAGGCGTCGTCATCAGAGGAAAATACATCGGGAGCAGTAGCGTCCTCTGGTGTTACATCTGCTTCCGGATCAAGTTCCCCATCTAGCGCCCTGGAGGAAACTACGGAAACTAGCTCCACCAATCCTTCGGACTCATCTCCCTTGCCCAGCGCAGAAGCGATCCAAGAGTCAACTGTACCAAAGGCCTCCACGGTCTCTCCTACTACTCCAAGCGATCCAAGTTCTTCGGACAACACGGATGCGCCGACTCAGCCCACGGAAGCGACCACCACCCCCTCGAGAAGAGCCATGAGCAACGTGGAGGGGGAGGAGCTGGCAGAACGCGCGATGGCGATGGAGAGAGAGGATCCGTCGCTAGAGAAAACAACTGAAGCAGGAGAGGCGTCTGCGGCGGCAACGACGGCGATCAGTCAGGAAGCGGTGGCGGCGGCGGCGGCGGACGCTCCAGAGGCACTAGCGGAAATGGCCGCCGCGAGTGAGGTAGTGTCATTGCAGAACGAGGCGGCCGGACACGGGGTGATGATGGCACTGATGGATATGATGAGAGAGATGATGCCCGACGCGCCAGTGACAGAGAGCGCGTCGGCAGATGCGGCGATCCAGACAAGTCCTTCGGAAGGGCTCCCCGCGGGGGCGGAGGCGCTGTCCGTTGCAGCAGGCACGACGGCGGGGGCTGTGGCGTACGCGGCTGAAGGACCCGCAGCGGCGGTGACGGTGACGACGGCGATGGCCCAGCCCGTGGGCGATGCGGCGGTCGCCGCGGCGTCCGAGGCGGTGGCGGCCGTGGCGGAGCCCGAAGGTCCCGTCGCCTCCCCGCGGGTGGGCGCGAAAGCGCTCGTGACGCAAGAGGCAGCGTCGACGCCAGGTGAGTGGCCAAGTACTCCGTTCTTTCTCTTTCTCGGTGTAAGATCTCACAGAAACTCGATTTAATTATTGTCTAGAGTGAACGAAAAATTATGTTTTTACATTCTTCTCTTTGAAAATGGAATGGGAGAGGTGTTATTAAAAGAGAATACAGGAAACTTCATATACTGCATTGAAAAAAATTGATCATATGAATGGATGAATACCAGAACGGTATAAGTGACATTTTATATATTCTGAGAAAAACGTGTTTATTTCAGGCTATATTTCAGTGGCAATGTATTTTCGTGGTTTTAATGAACAATTGAAATGTAGTGGTTTTAATAATGAAACAAAGCACCACGATATTACAGTGACATTGCCTTCAATAAACAGATTGCTCAGAATTTAGGAAATGTGACTTATATTATATTGTTCTGGTTTTCACCCATTCATATTTGATTTGAGTGTGCAAAGGAAAGGATCATATCTCGGGGCTGTAGCTATCCTGTGTCAACGAGGCGCGTTGGCCTGTTTGCAGCGCGGACGAAGGCCAGGGCGAGGGCGAGGGCGAGGGCGACGGCGGGGCGGCGCGGCGGGCGGCCAGGGCGCAGGAGCCACAGGAGCGGCAAGGGCGCGCGCAGGGCGGCCAGGCACCGGGGGCGCTCCGCAGCGCTTGCCCGCCGACGGCGAGACGTCCCGCGCTTAGGTGAGTGCTCGCTCCACACAGCTTTCTTCGCTGCCAGGCCACCACGCCTTTTAAAAACGCAAAATGGCGAAAACTATATCGCTCGTGCGCTGCAATAGTGGCACATCTCAATAAACACGAATTTTCAGTTAATGAACTCTCCAGAATTGCGGATTGCTCTACCTTCCAGTAGCAACAGAAGCATACCTTACAGTGCAGTATTCCATCAACAAAAGGCACGAGTATGTATGCAAGCTTGATATATTTCAATACAAGTTGAAAATTTCAAACTCTTATATTTCAACACCTGATTTTTTGAGTAGTCTCACTATTGCAGACCACGAACGATATCGTTTATCAACATGATTTGAATATTTTCAGTAATTGTTTTTCTAAAGTTTCTTTATATGCTATAAATAGTTTGAATGTACACTCTACAGCGAAAAGTAAAATATTTTTGAATTGGTTTTATAATATGTTAATTGTTAGAACCTTTATAATAAATCCAGAGATAATATTTAGTGTTGAAGAATTTATATTTTTTTATATTTTATGAATACTTTACATATCTATGTATCCCGTTCTTCAACTTCCGCCGTTCTTGTTGCTCTTTATATATGCTAGCTCTCAAGTTAAATGTCAATGTTAGGTTTGGATGATATATAATTCAGAATTCGGTTCTAGGTTTACTTGTTTGATGTCAGTAAGGTATTTGTATTACAAATGTATGAGAAAACAAAAGATGTCAAAATTCTGTAGGAAATCTGCAATTAAGAAAACCCTACTTGTATTATTGCACCCTGTGTGATCAAGAGGTCCAAGAGAACAGATAATGCAGCAGAAAGTACCACCAATGCAGCAGAAAGTGCCAAATTGAACAAAATTGCCATCTTGCAAGATAACTATTTCAGCCAGAGCGGAGCACTTTATTTCGCCGTCAAGACGAAGTCATTTTCTCAACAAACCGACTATCTTGAGAATTATCTTTGGTAATATCTACTGGTAAAAGTACACTCTTGCACTGCAGAGGCCACATAACTCCGAACTCACGCCGCGATAGTGCTGTCCGAGGTAGCCCGTCAGTCATCTAGGTGCCTACATCTTTTTGAGAATAAGGGGGCCAGTTTCTCAGTGCTCACAAGTTCTTGAACAGCACGTTAGTTTACAGGAAATGGATTAAGATTTTAGAGGCGATATGTAAGGCATTGCTAATGTCCTTTATGTTACCAACGCCGTTGAAAATATTCAAGCCTTTACGCGATATTCGAACCCACAGCTCTTGTAACCGCTTCTGTGCGTTCACCGTTCCCGAGACCATGCACCATCTAGATATTAAGGTATTTTGAGGTCTTACACTTTTCTTGTGCACCACCAATATTTTAGTCATAGAATTTGGGTCACATTTTCACCACTTCTTGCAAAATCACAGAATTGCTTTCACAAAACGTAGGCAAACCGTAGGCATTTCATAGTAAAATTAAAACACATTTGGAATCCAGGCCCATCACGGTGTCGGTGAAGTCATTCTTTGCATGCAAAGGGTCTCAAAGGTAAAAACAATCAAATGCGTGTCTTCAACAAATGGGAGGAATGATGCAAATGTATTTACGGTTATCTGCAAAGTTTCCCTCAATTTTTATTCGAAATAAATATACACTTCAAAGTCTCATCTGAAGGTGACACCTTTTGAACCAGCCAATAACTACGTCGAAAGGCATCACTGGACTCGCAGCCTTATGAGTAAAATGTCTAGCAAATAAATAATTTTTCTCCAATTTTTTTCTCAGTAAGTCCTCAAAAGATGTTCTTCGTATGGGCGAGCTCTAAAAATATAGAACTCTACCATTGACTTGCAAAACGCGGTAAAACGCCTGCATGTACTAGGAACAGGAAGAAATCAATAGTATACCTTCACTCATTTGGAGTGAATATTTTTGTAATGAAATGTACAAGTAACACGGAATACAATTCAATTTCTCACTTTCCATTACATTTTTATTCATTCATTGCTCTTCTTGAATCAGTTAATCACAACATTCTTTATTTTTTTCCGAATACCTATTTTAAAACAAATTAATTATCTATGAAATGAAGCTAATATTCATAATTCACTTTCACATTAAAAAATATAACATACTTGATGCAATGAAAAGGACTGATGTGTTATTCGTAGATTAAAAGTACAAATTCAGAGGTATCTCATAAAACAAACACCTCATCCATATGGATCCACGGAGCCAAGCTTCAGAAACAGGAAAATATCCCACAACCAGTAAAACATAGAATCTCAAAAGATCATCGCTGCACATAATTAATGCATCCACAATTGTGTTTTATATTACTCTTGCTCCAAAGAGGCTTTATTCGTCTGCAGCGGCCTAATTTCAGTTCAAGCAAAAGAACATCATTGCTCAGACACAAAGAAAGGCCATCACACCTGACAAAAGATAATACAATAAGAGGAAGAACAACTACGTATCAAAGACGTTTTAGAACATCTGAGAACACGAGGATTATGTTGGCCAACAACTTTTATTTATTACGAGAGGTGGTTTTGACGACTAGACACTACTTTCACTCTTATCTTGTAAGAGTCAGTAGACCATGTTTGTTGTCCTAACACTCGCCATACATTACTAATACAGAGTTATGACAAAATTTACTTGTTCCTCTCGACATAAGAAACCTGACAACTACCAATTACTTCTCGTTCATTATTAAGAAATAGGTGGAGAAATAATTAAGAAAAGGCTCTACGCTGGTGGAGTCTTCGATGGGAACCGAAAGTCACCTCAGGACTGAGAAATTAATCGAAAAAATTACAGAAAGATTACTCAAACGAAACAAATATTTTACATTAACATTACAGTTAGCAATTAAAAATTATCGTTTTCAACATCATTGCCGTGTTAATATTCTTCTAGGATGACATTTTGGAACGGTTCTATTCATTTCAATTTTGGGACATATTTTTCGTTTCGTTAGTTCGATAGTTGGCTTGCGAGCTCCATCTAATAAGTCGATGATCAGAAAGTTAGCTATCGATTTGCCTCAGATTTTAACGATTTCAACTGTAACAATTGTTTTAAAATGCGACTTTATCAGAAAAAATGCTTATAATTTTTGGCTGACCCGTGTAACCGAGGGCGCTGAGACAGAAGTACTTGTCTTGGTTGTTAAAGAATTCTAGTTCCTCCGTGCACGAGAAAGCGTTTATTCATTTTTCGTATCATCATTGCATCTTTCATAAATCTAAACTCACGGCCAAACACGGTATTTGAAAATAAAGACATATTTTTTGACAATATTTTAACATCAGGTTGCTGTGCAACTCTTGAATTTCAATGCCCCATACATATTAAACGCGATATAGTGCGTGTGTGAAAGTGAATGAATTCGAGAGAATCTTGAACAAATTATGTGGAAGTAGATTGTAATTTTGAGAATTTGCTCTATTTTTTACACATTATATGCACAATTTTTATCATTACCAGTGAAATATTAAACGTTGTATACCAATTCCCTTTACTTTGTTTCTTAGAAATTGCTATTTGACAAAAACTGTGCCTACTTTAGTCTCCGTGAAATGTAGGTGTTGTGGTAAGATATCTTTGGCATTTTTAAAATAATTAAAGATGTTGTCATTGCCAACAATGTTTTTTAATTCAATAGCAGCTGAATTAAAAACATTGTTGGCAATGACAACATCTTTAATTACTCCGTGAAATGGCTGGCAAATATGACTCAGTCACGTGCTTTTTTTTCAGAAGCTCGTCTGCAAAATAGTTATTTCCCGGCACAGGCGTGGCATTGCCGTAAATACGGAGAACGTTCCTCCTGTATACCGACCTCGTGTGAAGAGCGACTCCATCCGGAAACAGAAGGGACTACACGGTGGGGATGGCGCCGTCCTCCAAAAAGCCGGGCCGTTTTCCGTTGCGAGAAGCCGGTTCGACTGCTGACACGCAACTCTCACCGCGACAGAAGCTCTCATTCTTTTGTGTCTTCATTAGCAGATAAAATATCATCGTAAAGTCATTTAACATTTTGACTGTTATACTCCGATTTAAATGTAGTGGCGCTTCAAGGTCACTAACTGGAAGAAGGGGGAATGTCATCCAATCGGGAGGTCCAACATCAGAAATGTATTTCGTAATGAAGGTTCTTATTGGATAACAGGACTCTCCTTTCCCTCAAGCTCGTGACCTTAAAGTGCCACCGTGTGTAAATAGGATTATAGAAGAAGATTCGACCCCCGGCCGAAGGGATAAAAGGCAAAGAAAAGCTGACGATGCGTTACTAGGTTAAAGCAGGATTACTCAACTCCAAGTTC